CATGTGCTCATCTCTTTTATATTTTATTGATTCTTTTCATTTATATGTGATTCATTTTGACATAATTATAAAAGCATGAAATATAATTTGTTCAAATTCAGTCCCCAGCGCCTGCTCTCATCTTCCTTTCCTCCCACCTCCTGTTCCTTTCCCTCTACTCTACTGAACTTCCTGCTATTTACTTAGAGTTTTTATTTTAATTAGTGTCTTGTTGGATGTTCATGATGCATAAATAAGAATTTTAGCCTAGAGTCCTTCCACTATCTTTCCCTATCCCGTCTCTCCTCCCTTCTCTTCATCCCCCTCTGTCTACTCCACTGATCTTTCTTATATTTCTTTTTAATCACCTCCCCCTTATTTTGAATTAGCTTCTGCATTCAAAGAAAACATTTAACCTTTGACTTTTTGAGACTGGCTTATTTCACTTAGCATGATAGTCCCCAGTTCCATCCATTTACTGGCAAATGTCATAAAGTCATTCTTTTTTATAGCTGACTAATAATCCATTGTGTAACATTTTCTTTATCCATGCATCAGTTGAAGGGCACCTAGGTTCGATTCCTAGCTTAGCCATTGTGAATTGTGCTGCTATAAACAGTGATGTGTCTGCTTCGATGTAGTATGCTGATTTTAAATCCTTTGAATATATACCGAGGAGGGGGATAGCTAGGTTATGTGGTGGCTCCATTCTGAGATTTTTGAGGAATCTCCATACTGCTTTCCAAAATGATTGTACCAATTTTCAGTCTGACCAACAATGTATGCTTTTCCCCATATCCTTGCCAATATTTATTGTTACTTATATTCTTAATAATTGCCATTCTGACTAGAGTGAGATGAAATCTCAGTATAATTTTCATTTACATAAAGAAGACATGTCTACACAGTGATACTCAAATATTTTCATGAATTCAACAAATCTTAAATATTTTAAGTTTGGAGCTGTGTTTTATATGTTGAACAAAGATTAAATAAGATCTATCTTTTTATAAAGTTTGCAATCTAGCAGTTCAGTCAACATTTTCTAACAACATATATTACACATTATACACAAAACAGCTATGTGGGATAAGTCAATAGAACGTAGGATTTCTTTTTAAGTGTTGCACTGGGTACAAATGACATGCACAACCTCACACGCATACCCACATCCACACAGAAATATTAAAGTTAAAAAAAAAGTCTTTGCATCCTGAASGAGGACTTGTCAATTTGTCCTCAGTTTAAAGTGGGAGCCAATAAAAAAAAATGTCCCTGATAAATATGTTCAAGGTTTTCCTATAATACTTCCTCTGATTGATAGTAATTGAACTTGCCCTTTTCAGCTTACCTCCCAAGGCTGTGACTAACACAAGAAAGAGAAACATCCTTGTCACAGATGTAAAGTACAAGACATCCACAGTTCAGAACATAGTTGGTAAGAAACGTGTGCTAGTCATAGACTCTCATGGAGCAAAAAGCTTTTCAGAGCTCACCTCCTTTCAAACACAGGGACTCTGGCAAATTAATTATCAATTGTAAGACAGGAATATATGAAATGAGACCATGTTTAAAATTTGAATAACAAACCCAGATAAGGATTTGCAACTCATCTTATAGAGATGAGCCAAACTAGCAAGTGAGGCATTTTTCCTGTGTCAAGCTACAAAATTCTTGAACACATTAAAATTTAAAAATTCAAAGTTAAAAAAATATATACTTGTGTATACATATATACACACCCATTATATACATATGGTTTTAGAATATATTATAAAACATGTACAACCTATAATATAAACAATGGTTCCATATACTTCAACTTTGTACAAAATAATAACAAAGGGGTGAAAAAACAAGGAATTGTTTCAATCAGGAAATAAGAGGAGAAACAGAGCCACTGGACTTCTTGGAGAAATGGACCAGACTGGCTTTGATAAACTCACTCTCAAATCCTGCCAGCAGCAGCAACATCTGCTGCTCTGCCCTCTCTGTGTTCTGCCTTCCCTCCTCTTCCTCTCTGCTTCTTTTACCTTGAGTCCTGGTAATAACAGTCTTGGAGATAGTAGATAAGGGGGGGGGGGGAGAAGAGGAGAGAGACTGAAAGAGGAAAAAGAGATATGATACTAAGACAATCTCATTTTTTTTTTTTTCATGCTGAGACAGGTCAGGTATTATGCTTAGATCCTTTATTTCAATTGGTAGGTAATTTTTTTCTTTCTGTTTTGTTTTGACAGGGATAACTTTTCAAATTAAATCCCTTTATTGAATTTTCACCCTTGGATAGTTTCTGAAGATGCTGCCTTTACACAAATACCAAAAAAAAGTAAAATAAAATAAATAAAGTTATTACTGATGTATTTCACGCCTTGGGAAGGCTGAGCCTGAGATGGCATTTTGGTGTGATCAACCACCATGCCTTCAGGGAGCAGAGGAATATTAGGTATGAGAAAATGTGCAGATCAGAGAGAGCCGAGGACTTGTTTTTGGATGTGGGGTTATGTGCATTCAATGCCAGAAGCCAGAAAGCAGCATTATCCCCTAAAGCCTGAAAATAAAAGCAATCAGGGATGCTACCAATTCCATCCAGAGTCTTCTAAACAAGGGTGCAGTCATGGGAGACAGACCCTAAAGCTCTTTCATTAATTTCCTGGTATGGAACTTTGCTCCTCAAAGCAGGTTTCACAGATCAGAAGCATGGGATCATCAGGGAGCCTGTTAGGAATGCAGAATCTTGGGCCCCTACCGAATCAGAATTCACATCCTAACAAGATCCCTAGATGGGTTGTATGCTTGGTAAAGTTTGAGAGACAGTGCTCCAAAATTTTCAGGCAACCTGAGTTAGCTAGGTGGTAAAACTGACAACTGATCAACTATTCATCCATTCTTTCAGCATGAAGTTGGTGAGCTCCTTCTACATGGAAACACTGTGGTGTGTGCTGTAGAAAAAACTGAACAAAGGTATAGGTTCTCTGCTTTCATGGGACTCATAGACCAGTGGGGAGTAAAAGTTATGACGGAATAATCACATCGATGGAATATACTATTTCAATCAGAAATAAAACCAAAAAGGAATACATTTTACAAAAGCAAACAAAAGAAGGAATTGGTTTAGAATGGGAGTTTAAGAAAGTCTTCACTAATACACAGGTGATTAACCTGAGGGTAACCCATCTACAGTGATTCATTACATTTACTTGGTAGGGGAGAGGCAATGGAAGAAGGTTTCCAGACAGAGGAAATGTCAAGAATGAGAGCCCTGTGGCAGGACAGAACCCCCTATACATCAAGAACTGAAGTCAAGCCCGAAGTCCTTCAGGCCAGGAGGGAGGGAAAGGCAGAACAGAAATTAGGCACCAGGTTAGTTAGGACTTGGCTCCTTATCATCAGAGCAATGGGAACTTAATAGAGAGCTTTAAACTGTTTATGCCTTTACTTTCACATCAGAAAATATTGATCTTTATCTTGTGTTTACATCTGGACCTTGGAATCCAAGATAGTATCATGTGCTCCAGGGTCAGTCCCTGAGAGAGTCCACTGCAGAGATGGGAAGATGCTCTGAACTGCTGAGCTCATTACAAAGCACAGGCCTGCCTGGGTGCATAGGAAGAAGGTCATAGTCAGTCTCAGACCCTGTTCTGCACTCCAACTAACTGTGCCAAAGAATGTATTCATATCTCCAAAGGGGAAACAAAAACCTCTAGAAATGAAAACCGTGAAAAATCTCAAATGGAGGTCTTGGAGGTTGGGTGGCTTCTGGGGAATTGAGTTGCACAGGTGACCTGCCTTTTTCTATCTTTCTTTCTTTTTTTTTGCTCCAAGCTCTTTAAGTGTAGATTTCCTCTGCCTCTGTGTTGAGGAGAACCAAGGACAGGTACATAGAAGTAATAAGGCAATCAGAAGTAATGAGCATTCTTGAGAATTGTGAGGAACAGTTTAGAAAGAGGGAATGTCTTGGAAACTCCATCATCACTCTGGCTCAGTGCTGACCACTCTGTGCACTCCTTCATATGCTTCAGTTTCTGTAATTCTCACCTGAATGGTGACTGTGAAATAGACACTACTGTCCTCTATGAATTTACCATATGCCTTAGCTAAATCATTAACTTAGTTTCCTAGGCTTTGGTTTCCCCATCTACTAAATGGGAATAGAACCTACAAAGTTGTCTTGATAATGTACATGATGTGCTTAGCATAATTCCTGGTAGAGGACAATTTCTAAATCAATGTTAGCTACTAAAAGAATCATTATTATCAATGTATTTAACTAACAAAGAAACCAAGGTATAAAGGTTTAACTGATTTTTCCAAGGTGACACAATTAATGAGTGATCTTGGAGACATTCACACGTGGGTTTGAATTGTGGATCTGCAACCCACCTCCCTCTATACCATGTATCTAAAGCCACAACTTCTACAAAGTGTAGTCCTTCACTGTGGCTCAAATGCCTAGGGTTGAGAGGAAGAACCAAAGGGTGAGYGACTGACTCAGGTGACTTCCCCTCTGCTGCTCATGATGGGGACACAGAGCATGATTCTTTCTTCTTGTTTTTCTAGGTGTTTCATGAAGCTCTAAACAAGTCAGGGAGGCATTGCCTGGATGGTATTTCACAAGATAATGGGCCAAAAAATAAAAATAAAACTGCAGCAGCAAAACCACTGAATACTTTGGAACTCAGTTTTGGAATCTTCTCTTTACCTTGAAAGATACCTTGAATGGATGCGAGGGTAGTGCTAGTAATGCTAGTAATGCTAGCAATTATACTATCCAAGTATAATTAAATCTGGATAATATGTATTTATACATAAGTATTAATATATCTATCTATTTTAAACATGCATGTTAATATACAAATTTAAGACTATTGAGACAATCCTGATTTACTGATAACAGGAACAATCCATAACTCCAAATGACTTGCATTATTGTGACAGTGATTACACAGACTTGGTTCGTGACAGATTAGTTCATGACAGAGCTACCATGACTATGGACTTTGGGACAAAGTTCATTTACTTACGACCATCCACAGTTCTGGCCTCCAGATGCACCAGGTCTGGTTCCTTGTTCGACCCCATCACAGACCTAAAACATGGAGAAGCATAAAAAGATGCATCTGCATTAACAACTTCCTATGTGCCTTGGTGCATCCCACAGTCTATCCATGTCCACAGGCTCCCCAATCTTTGGCTGTGCCTATTCTATTTATGTATATAGTCTGACAGGAAAATTTCCACTTCAAACAAAAATTATAATAAACCTTTGTTTGATGAAGGCCAGGCTGAACTCAGGCAAGGATACTGGGTGTTGTTAGCTTGGACTTGAAAATAATTCCCACAAATGGCTAGAGCATACTCCCCCACAGTAACCCTGCTAGCAGCAAATTAAACTTTCAAGACTTATGAGGTAGATGCCAGGTATGTTGCTGGGTGACTTGAACCATGATTTACATAGCAAACTCATCTAATTAATTTTTTTATTTGAAATTTGCAGATATACCTACTACTGCCATATGAACTATGAACAAATCACATGACCCAACCAAAGAAGTGGCAACTACAGCAGAGTGACCATTCCCTGCATTGTTGAACCAGTGTGACCAAAATGTGCAGATACATTTCACTCTCAGATTTGTGCCAGAAGCCACATGTGTAAGTAAAATAAAAGTTTAAAATGCCTTGGAGGCACATATTATTTGGTATAATCTTATAATGAGTCATCCTAAATAGAAAATAATTATTCTATTACATAAATGATATAGGTAGTCATACTCTATCTCTAGAATTTTTATACAGCAAGATTAATTAAAGTTGGGGCTATTTTTACCTTAAAAATCATAATTTGCAGAACTTCAGTTCATTCCTTTTCTACATGAAAAATAGTCAAATGTCTTCAAATGGTCCCTCTGCTTGCCCTCTGCCACTCAGCACAGCCATTCAATTCATACTAGAAAAGACACATCTTAAAAGTACACATCCCCTTTAGGATGTCCTGTGGTACCCAAGACCCTAAATGACAGACCCCATGTCACTTTTGCTGCCTCATCTGCCATACTCAAAGAACGTGCCACTCCCTGAAAGTGCTATGTTCCTTTCCCACCCCTCAGGAGCTTCTATAAGCTCTGTCTCTAGCTTGAAATTATTTTCTCCAGCTTCTCTAGTCATGTTCAGGACCCCTGAACATGATGGGAAAGTCACTTATATAAATATGTCCCAGGTACAACAGGAAAAGCATTTCCTCCTATCAACACATACTTATTTTTTAAAATATATATATTTTTAGTTGTTGGTGGACCTTTATTTTATTTATTTATTTATATGCAGTGCTGAGAATTGAACCCAATGCCTCACATGTGTGAGGCAAGCACTCTAGTGCTAAGTTACAACTCCCTATAAGATACTYATCACAGTTTATTATAAATAATCATTTTTGTGTATTTTTCTAAGTGTTAAAGCAACTGTTATGCACATGCACAGAAACAGAAAAACACATACACTCCCCCCTAAACAGAGCTACCAAGGAGATTTGTTGTAAATATTTTATATCCATAGGCTTTGACATGTGATAGTCAAACATGGAATGATAGAAGGAACGAGCCAAGGAAAGATTAAATTTAAAAAAGGAATAAAGGAAGGACAAGAGAGGAGTGAGGAGAGAAAAAGAAAAGCAGAGGGAGAAAGGAACGGTAAAATTCTTGTTAATTCTTTGAAATAAAAAGTAATCAGTGTTCTAGGGGCATTCCCAGAACTCTTCTTTTTGGAATTCATATTCTCAGTCCCTCTTCATCTTCAGTGGAAAAACAAAAAGTCTCCTTGAGGCCCTATTATCAGTGAGTTTCTCTAATTGATACTGAGCCTGAAATTCAGAGTCTAYTCTCCAAACATTGCATTCAGTTTTCTTCTTCTCCCATGAAGCAAACACTTCCTAGGAAGGCTTAATAATTCCCCACAAAGAGACATGTGACATGAGCTTGGATAGTTCACACCACTGGAATTTGCCTGAATAAGGAGAAGATGGCCCTTTTGCCATGATTTCAGATAAACGCTGCAGCAATTGCCAGTCCACAGACAGTGGCCCTCCTATTCCCCACACTCAGCCCTGGCCCAGATTCACTGAGGACCTTTTCTCACAAAGCCACAAGCCATGAGCATTAAAAAAAAGAATGCATGGTGCTCACCAACCCTCAAACTCTATAGCTCAGTTTTGGACTGTTTTTCTTCTAAATATTAATGGGTAGTGACCTGTTGCTCATCTGCCCCTCTTGCTTGCCGCTCTGAGTTTCTTCTTTGGAAGGTCTGCCACATTTCCATTCCAGGAGAAGCCTGGCATCCCAGAAGCACCACACTGACAACTTAGCAAGCCTCTCTGCTTGGCTCATAGTCAGTATCAAAGGGTAGCAAAATAATTTCCTGAATCTAGATGCATCTTTTCAAGTGTTCCTACCTCCAGATCAACAGTCACAGAGTTTGTCAAGATTTCTGCATTATCTCTAAGGGTAGGTAACAATCCCCTCAACCCATCAACTAAAATAAAAGATATAAAATCAAAATAGAGTCCTTTGTTTTCCAAAATCTAATGTAGCTGACCAAACTTTTACCATAAGTTTTTTCCCCATCTTTAGTAAAACAATTCTAAAAGTAATGTTTGAATACTTAAGTCAAACTGCAATGTTTCCAAGAATTTTTTTCTGTAATGGCTCAAGTAGTACCTCCAGCAATCACAGATGACAGGATCATCACTGCTTTTACTATGTGGCCTTGGTGAATTCCAGAGAATTAAAGCCAAACAATGTGAAATGGGCATGTGGATGCTGATTTTGATGATCCTGTACTTGAGTAGACACCTTAAAGCATCATATCACTGCAGTTCATCAACTGATACGATTACCATAGCCCACATACACAGCTACATTTTAGTTGGGACTATGGACTTTGGTAGTTTTCTGTGTGTTTTAAGATTAACTATTGTGTTTCTTCTTCATGATGTCACCTTCAAAGCAAAAGGGCGTAAACTTGGGATTTAGTCCAAAATGAACCTTTGAAGGTTTTACTTACAGAATATTTCAAGACTGCCTAGGAGCATCTCTATCCAAACATATTTGTAATTCTAACTTCCAGTATTTAGCACAAGTGGTTGGGCACCTTGCTTTTTGCTTTGATATCACCCTACATATAACTCTCATGGTACATCATGGTTTGCTACATGATTTGCATAAATAACTCTCTTCCTACACTGAGCTCTCAAAAGGAGTGACTTTTATGATGGGATTATCTGTACTTAGCAAAGCATAAAAAAGCATATTTTTTCAATAAATACATGGACAACCTTTTAACACTGGTCAATATTTTCTATTATATCCAGTAAACTAGGTTATACAATCTGGAACTTGAAAAGAATCTTTCTATAAAAATAAGATAAAAAAATTGGTCCAGAATCATTTTTATTATAGAAAAAGGCTTTAGGTGGCTGTATCTTGTATCCCTTTATCACTAATCATATATTGCCTTTATGTATAATTGGAAAAACAAATTCTCTTCTTGAACTGGATTTCAAGGAAAGGAAGGGGAGTTTGCATATGCTCATGCTGGTATTTCTACCTGGAGTTCCTTCTCATCCTTCTTCTACTTTGATAGCTTTGATGACTGGGGCTCATCTACACATGACTCAAGTTGAAAGTAGGCTTCCCAGTCGGGATGCCCCTTAAGCCACAGTGGGTCTTCCTTCTGAGACTTCTAGAACTACRCACATGTTTTGCACAGCCTAAAACAGGCTAAACTCAGTTTTCCTAGAATACACACTTTAAAGTACCTATAAGATTTCTAGTACACTGAAAAGACACAAAAAGTGCAGCTGATTTCCTTCTCTGACTCCTTCCTTGTTTCAAGAAATATGTGGGAATAATAATACTTACCTAAGAAATTAGGATTAATATTTGTTTTAAAAATGTCTTGGTATATCATGAGTATTCCACTAACAGAAATGATTTATCAAGATCATTTATTATCTTAAGTCAATAGACAAAAAAATAATCAATGGCCCAAATATCAACTCTACAAGTAAAACTTATTTACACCTTCACTTTCTTATTCAGTGAAATGTTCCAAGCCCCTATCCTGTGAGAAGAACCAGGGCTACAGATTCCCTGCCTTTAATGGTTTAAAACTACAGAAAAGAGAGTATTCCAATGACACTAATGTTCTAATGTTCAGAGTGCTATTTGAAGTTTGCTGTCGGAGAGAGAAAGAAAGTCCAGGAAGCCTTTAGAGAAAATGGATTGAATCTTAAAAGATACACAACAATATGACCAATGGGCAGTGGGGGTAGAACATTCTGTTTAAATGTAAATAGCTGGTGTTAAGTCCTAGTCTCAGAGTCCTAGATCAAAGAGGGTCTTCCACACAAGCATCTGCTAATAAGTCAATAAGCTAGATCTGGTGTTTTCCAAAGCAGAGAGCAGTAGAAAATTAAACAAAAAATTAGTAGACACTCAACAATGAGGCACCTCTTGCATAAAGCTAATGTTGATCCCCCAAGCCATGGAGTGGTATTAAAAATGTTAAATATGTTAATTTGCAAACAGCTAAAATGAAAAACCTCAGTCCCAGTCTATATGTGTGCATCCCTTCTGGGGGAAACTATGAAGGGACAGTCCATGGGTTGTGCCAGACCAGTTCCATTAATGAAGACTAGATAAAGCTTGCTGCAGCCTCCTGCTTTTGTTTCCAGGATATTAAGTTGTTGTTTACATTTAGAAGCCAGTTTGGAAAAAAACCTAAGGATCATCAAAGCCAAGAATATGGGTGTAGCAAAATCCAAGCTGAGTTAGTATACCGGAGATGTTAGCAATGCAACATCAGCCTTCTGAAATACAATCAGCCCAGTGCAGCCTTTGTAGACATTTTCTACTGAGAAACTCAGAAATGTCACTAGTTTATCATTCTCCTGGCATTTTGTCTGAGTTTACACCAGTTTAATATAGTGCTCAATAAATGCTGCAGAGCCACAAAATATCCCGATGTAGATAACTGCAGAGCAAGTATTAAAAAATAAACACTGTGACAGGAGAGCTCCTATTTATTCAGATT